CCCCCCCCCACACGCACACAATTGGTCCCCTTCCCCCACCTGATCCCTCATCAGCCTCTCCACAACCTCATCGCTGTTGACCAGCTGAACCATCATCCTATCCAGGGAGCGCATCAGGGAGCGAGCCCCGCTGCGGGACGCCGCGATCTGGGCCAGCATCATGCCGTAGAAATCCAGCAGGTGGGAAGCTGCCGGGAGGGTGGGTGGCGGTGTATGTTGAGTGCAGGTGCATGCGGGCGCGTGTGCGTGTGGGTATGCGGGTATCTGTGTGTGTGTGTGTGTGTGTGTTAGTGCGTGTGTGCATGTGTTTGAGTGAGTGTGTGCTTGATGTGCACCTGCATCCTCATGGCGTGGTGGTGGTGGCGACTGGCGAAAGCACCGGCAGGTGAGAGCACAGGGTGCAACAAAGCCAGGAGAAGTGGTCAAATCGGACCATCCCGCAGCGCCACCATCGGCGCCCGGCCCACGCGGCCGCGCTCGTAGTAGGTCGCAGCGGCGCTCTAAGTGGGGCCGCGGGCGGGCGAGCACGCAGGGTGCGGGTGCTACAAGGCGCCGGCGGGGGGTAAGTGGGGGTGGAGCGGGGCGCACCGGCGGCATATTTGCAGTCGGGCTCGTATAGGAGCAGCAGCAGCAGCGTGACCGCCTCCGTGCTGACGTCTGGCGGCATGGACGACAGAGAGAACAGCAGGCGGCGCAGGAGGCAGTCCTGTGTGTGTGTGTGGGGAGGGGGGAGCGGCGGAAGAGGTTTGGCAGCGGCATGCGGTGGGAAAGGGGTCGAGGGGCGGGGCGCGCATCATAGGGAGGCCAGGGCGCGCTGTTGGGCGGAGAGTGCGAAGGCCGGCGCAGGCCGAGGGCGCCGCAGGGGGTCGAGGCGGTCAACCGCGCCGCGCGCCGCCTGGGCCGCGGCCGCGCGCACCTGCTTCCCTAGCGGCGGCTGATACCTCGGCGCGGCCGCGGCGGGCACCAGCCGTGCACACAGCGCGCGCAGCGCGGCCGCGGCGGACGGGTGCGCGAGGCGCTCCAGCTCACTTAGGCCGCCCGCCGCCGCCGGCGCCGCCGGGGCCTCAGGTTGGGGCTGGGCCGGAGGCGGCAGGGCCGCCGAGACGATCGCGCACGCGACGGAGCGGACGGCGCCGATCCGGATCAGGGGCTGCAGCCACTGGCAGAGGGAGACGGCGATGGCCTGCTCGTGCGCCGCGTGCGCGCCGCCGCCGGCGGCCGCCAGCGAGCACGCTGCGAGGGACACATGCGGCGGGGGCTAGGTTGAGCTTGGGGTGCGGGGAAATGCGGAGCGCAAGACGATGGCCGCCAGCTGGTGCGATCGATCAGATTTGCAAGCCGTCACGTTGATGCCTCCAAGTGCAGCCTGACTCGACGTGTTGTTCAGGCAGCCCAGGCGGCGCAGAGCCACCAGGCTGGCACGGGGCCGCCGGGCGCGAGGGTGCGGGCGCTCACCCTCTATGGCGACGAGCAGCCGCGCCATGACCAAGCCGACCGCCGTCGTGACGCACTCCAGCAGCGGCGGGCTGAGCCTCGGCTGGTCCGGCGCCAGCTCACGCGGCCGGTGGCGCGGGCAGCAGCCTGCGGGCGCGGCGGGGTCCGGGGGCGGGCGCGGCGGGTTGGAGAGCGCGACAGGCCGCCGCACGGGCGCAGCAAAGCGTCGCACTTGGGAGTGGCGCTGGTGCGAGGAGTGGAAATGGGGGCTTCGCAAGGGTGGGACGAGCAGCAGCAATTTCAAGTGCCCTGAGGCAACTCCCAGCTCATGATTTAGGCAACCCTAAAGCGCGATGCGCCTGCCCGGCCGCCTCACCCTCCGCCGCCCAAGATGAGAGGTCCCCACAGTCGCAGCAGCCCCCTGCGGCGGCCACCGGCGCGGCGAGGTGGATGTCAGGGCGGCGCGCTGGGCAAGGGCGGTGCGCTGGGCAAGGGCGGTGCGCTGGGCGGGCACCGCGGTCGGTCGCACGCGCACGCTGGCTGGACAATTGCGGGCCGTGTGGCCGCCGCCGCACGCCTGCGGCCCGCCGACGTGACCCGGCCAGCCCCCTGCATCCGCCCAACCCCACGGCCCTGGCGCCCCCGAGTGCCGCCGGCACCCACCGCTGCCACTACGGTACTGGACCCAGTCGTGCGCCTCGTGGCCGCCTGCTCTGAAGCAATCTATGCAGACAGCGGCCGTCGGGTTGGTCTGGCACGTCTTGCATCGGTATGCGATCGTCCCCGCCGTCCACACGTTGCTGCACTGCGCGCCCCCCTCGGCCGGCTGCAGCGACGAGAGGAGCGCGGCGTGCGTCGCGTGGCCGCCGGCGCGGCAGAGCATCTGTTCGCAGCTCTGGGGCGGGGGGTTCGCGGCGGCGCGGGGGGCGGGGCGCCGAGGGAGGGGTCGGGGCCTGGCTGCGGTCGACTGCAAAGAAAGACAGCAGCCGGCATCCCGCGGAATGGATGCAGAGCCCAGCACATATCCAGGCTGCTTGCATGCATGTGTCGCAGTAGCAACATAACAAATGAGGGTTTCCGCCGCCCCCCTGTTGGCCCCAGCGCAGCGCAGCGCCCCGCTCGCCTGCAGGCACCCCAGCGGGTCCAAGATCCAGCGCGCATCCGGCGGAGGATGCTGGATGCCTATGCGGCGCGAGGTGCGGCATCGAGAGCGCGCATGGGGTAGTGCATGTGTGCCATTGCGCAAACAGCAGATGGAGTGCAGCATGCGGCAGCAGGTGCGACGGGTGCGGCACCGCTGCGGGCCCGTGCGCTCAGCGCGTGCTCGCCGCGGCCCACCTTCTGCGTGCATCTGGTTCTGCATGGTGACCTGCGCCTGACGAACAGCTCGGCCGCTCTCGGCCGTTCCGAACGATCTCAAACCTGTCGCATCATAGGCTTTCTGTATTATAAATTCATCGATCAGAGGATGAGACAAAAGTACGTGCAGTCCGAAGCGGAATGGCACGGTGATGGGGGTCGACCACGCCTATGCAACTGCATCATTGACGCCACTTGAGGAGGACGGCGGCGAAAGCGGCAGCGCTGATCGGCATCGACTCGCTGATTGCATGCACTCGCAACCAGCTGTTTCCTTGGCCTGATGGAGGGGTTTCGGCCGGTTTCAGTAGGGTGAGTCAAACCCTCGCGGTGATCACGTGACCAGCTGACATCAGGGCACTAACACAACGAAACCCGTGATGGATGCCTGAACTGTACATGCAAGCGGACAATCACTGGAAATTTCACTGGTGTTTTGTTCACATAGGGCCCCTGTCAAGAGGTGCAGTAGCCACTAGGTGCGGTAGGCACCAGAGGGCATGCGTGCTTCGAACCAGCCATGTTCCCCTGGAGTGGACGGCCGACATGGCAGCTGCACCTGGCCTGAGAGGGTGCGCATGCGCACCTCTTGGCTCGGCTGTCCATGCGCGCTGTCGCGAGCATCAGCGGCGCCCCCTCGAAAAAAGCGAGCTCGAGTGTGCCCTGCCACCCCTGACCCCTACCAGCTGGCCACCAAACGACAGCACCGCGCCTTAACAACAGGTCCCAGGGCCCACCATGCAGCACGGCCCTCGCTGCTATGTTTCCGCGTTGCTGCTGTCCTGGCCAGCTTGGACGGGTGCGCTCAGGTGAGTTCAACGGACCTGCGGCTGCAAAGCAAAGCACTGGGCCCCTGTCTGGTTACAGTCGAGCCCGCCATCGCTGGGACGAGGCAGTGGCCCCGGCGGCTTGTGGGCTGCCAAGGCGATTGGAAGTGTGGGAGCACCGCCCAGGGGCCGCGCGCCTGCCCGCAGAGGACGCCGGTAGAGCGGCCGCAGGCGGGCGCGCGGGCGGGGGCGAAAGGGGGGAGGGCGGAAGGAAGTACAACATTGGGCGGTCGCGTGGAAGCGACCTTGGGTGCGATGGGGGGCACGCTGCAACACGCGAGCGCAGACCCCGCGCCTGGGGACGCCCGCAGCCCATGCCCACAGGCATGGGCAAGCCGATGCGCTCCCCCGCAGCGTGCCGGGCCCGCTCATGCATTCTGCATGCGCCTGCGTTGACGTTCTCTTTCGCGGTGTCTGTTTCTCTGCTGCTGTGGTTGTTGCGCCCTGGAACCCTGCTAGCGGCGCGCCGTTGCGCTGTGCACAGGGCAGGCGTCATTGCAGTGTCGTGCGGACAAGAGAGACAAAGGGGAGGAAGACCGAAGCAACAGATTTAGCCCGCCCACCCATCCCCAGCCGGCCAGTCTTCCGAAGCAGCGGCGCCCGCGCATGATCAGTGGCGTGGGCGTGCGGTTGAGCGAGATGCCCATCCAAACGGAGCGAGCGCGCAAAGGGGATGGAGCAGCCCTATTTCTAGGCCGTGCGCTTGTCGTCGCCGCCGCCGCCACCAGCCCCCGCGCCATTCCCAAGCGCGTGCTGCGGCGGCGGCGGCGGCGGCGGCCGCCCCGCGCCCGGCCCCGGCGGCGGGCCCCACTGCTGCTGCATGTGCGGCGGCGCCATGGGGTGCGGCATGGGCGCGTGGCCGTACGCCATAGGCGCGGCCGCGTATGCAGCGGGGACCGCCTGCAGGGGCGGGCCTCCAGGGTAGGCGTACGCCATCGGGTATGCGCCAGCCATGGGCGGGGCCGCCATGAAGCCCGCCGGCAGGAACGCCGGCTGCGCCATCATGCCGTGAGGGTAGAACGCCGCGGGGCCTGGGTACGCGACGCCCATCGCCACCGGCGCGCCACCCGCAGGGCCCATGGCCGCGGGGCCGAGCCGCTGGTACCC